AAAAAGAATTGGGAAAGAAGATGCTAATCAATTGTGTTTTTCATGTAACTTTAGAAGAGCGTACGGTATCTTATGGAATTATGTGTATTGTTATGATCATGCAAATACATGAACAGATACTTGGTCGTCTTCATAAGGATGTTGTAAACTTGATTTCTCAAAAATTTGATTTCAGTTGAGCTGTAGTTTGAACAATTAGATGTAGAATTTTTTCTGTCAGGTCTTAATAAAATAGATTTGATTGCTTTACCAAGTGCATGGAAGCCCATGCTCAAGGAAGTGTAAAGGGAATAAATGTAAATAATCTACTTAACCTTTTGTATCAGAATAAACTTTATGCATGTTTTTGGGGTCAATTTTTAACTGGTGCAAATATTTTAGTTTGTAGCTTGTTCAGCTTTACTTTTGGATAACATATTACTGCAATATATATGAATTTTCAGTGTTTGATGTGTGTTTGCATGAGTTTAAGAGAACTCCTGATTTGCAATAATCTTATTAAGAAGTTGATCATTGCAAGTAGTTGTTTCATGTGGAAGAACAACAATGAATCAATATATCATCTTTTACCTAATTGTCCAGTAGCTTAAAAATTATGGTCTCCAGTTTTTGCTTTATTCATGGTGGCTTGCCACTTGGGTGATTCCAGATATAGTGGTTGATTTATTAAATGCTTGGAAAATGAGTTTCAGAAAAAGCACATATTGGGAAGGCTGGAGATTTTAGTGTCATTAGCTCTGAAGTGAAGAAATAAAGCTTGAAATGCAGAGGTTGGAATTGCATTTCTAGGATATTAACTTATTTTCACTGACATTCTATTTGGACATTCAAGATGTATTTAATCTTTCTTTCTTATTTCTTGTTTGATTGTTGTTGCTTTTGCATTTAGTGTGTTCCATTTTGCTGTTAATAAATTCTAAGCATACCAGGAAAAAAACTTTCAAATTATTGTGGTAGGTCTTAGGTTGAGAGATCAAGTCTATGTAACTTTTTATGCACCTGATATGTGGTCATGGAATAATCTCAAAGAATCTAACAATGATATGCTATGGAATCTTCGTGATATTCACTCTGTTCTTTTCTCTATACTTGTATTTAGCTTCCCAGTAGTGGAGGGAAACATAAGTATACCATTCTGAAAGCATTGCAGGAGTATTAGATAATCTTCATTGGTTTTTGATGGTTGCATTTCTTTCTATGAAGGTTTTTATTTTGTTTTCTTAGATGTATTATGCTTCAAAATTCCACATTTCTCTGTGTTTCATATATAGGGCTCCAAAGAGCGCCAACCTGAGGCTGTGGAAAAAGTTGGTAAACAGAGTAACAATTTTGGTGTGAAAGAAGTTATTGGTGCTGACAGATTAAGTTCTCCTATTCCTCTTCCAGCGATTAATGTAAAGAGTTCTCCTGGCAGGGAATTATACTACATGTAATTCAACATTCACCTTAAAGTTCTCACATTTGCACGGTTTTGCTTGAATGCTTGGTCTTAATACCTCAACAACCTTTGTACATGAGAAACACCGACAATATGATTGATTTTCTTTTCTTTTTTTAAAGTTTGCATCTGGATTCTGTTATTTTTTTGGAATATTTAGGTTCACTGAATTTAGAATTGGTTCTGCCATCCAGGTTAAAAGATCAAATTTCCATGTATGCCTCCTGGATTGTCATTTAGTTAAGCATATGTAACAGACATAGAATTGGTTTACCCATATCCCTGCCTATGTGTACACTTGCAAATACATATACTATTTAAATTCCCTTCATTCCATTATATTTGACTGTATGTTACTTTTTGGATGTTCAACAAAATTTTGGGACATTTAGGAAGAAAAAGTAACTGATAGAGGCATGATGCAGACACAAAGATAAACTTAGAGCGAGTTTTCTCATACTTTTTCAAATCCTGAAAGAAGGTTAGAAACCTAGTTTTTAGTGACCAGTAGGACATGTAATGAATCAAACTACTTCAAGATATATGTCATATTGAGGAATAGAGGTCACAGAAAATCTTATGCATATTTTGATATGCCCAATGATGCATATAGTGATGATCTAATAGTTTCAGTTTGTTTTTTATATATATTATGTTAGGTCAGCAAGATCTCTATCAAGAAGTCATACTCCCACAGCAGGATCCTTCCTCGCACAAAGAATGACTCCTCCTTCTCATACAACAAATTCAGTTGAAGAGCCATTGCTCAGTGCACATGTTTCTACCCATTCTGCCTCTCCTCCAAGCACCAAATCATTGTTATGCTTGGTGACTATTAATTAACTTGAAGAACTAGCATCCTGTTCTATTCTCAAAAGAATGTAATATATGAATTAACTTT